GGCGACCAAACCCACCGGAGCTGAGTCGCCCCTCCTCCCCGACCGCCCTCCGTCGGAGGAGAGGCAGCCGTCGCTGGCAGGGGCGGTATTCAACGTGTCGACGAGCATAATCGGTGCCGGGATCATGTCCGTGCCGGCGACCCTCAAGGTGCTGGGCGTGGCGCCGGCGCTGGCGATGATTGTACTGATCGGATTATTAGTGGAGGTGTCGGTGGATTTCATGCTGAGGTTCACGTACTCCGGCGACGCCAGGACATACGCCGGCCTGATGAGGGAGTCGTTCGGCCGGCCGGGAGCCGCCGCCGTGCAGGTGTGCGTGATGATCACGAACCTCGGATGCTTGATCATGTACCTCATTATTATTGGTGAGCAGTTGATTTTTTCCAGATTTAATTTATTTATTATTATTATTATTTTTTTTTTGTCAACTGGGATTTAATTATGTTAAATTATGTTAGGGGTAGCTTGCACGTGTTCACGCGTGTTCTTGGTTAATTTCTTTCGAAATGATTGGTGTGTTTTTTTTTTACCTTTTTTAGCTTTGTTTGATTATTGTGGGTGATGTGGTTCAATTATCAGCTCAAATTGAAACATATATATTGTCTTGAATTACTAGTTGTGTTAGCCTGCAAAACAGCTTTGGGTGGAACCGTATTGAACACTCCAATCAGAAATAGTATACGTACAATAATGGCTTATTCCCTGGGTTTTATTAATATTTAATAATACATCGATATATATGTCACATTAGTGGGTTTATTTCTTGTTACGTGTTTTGCTCTCATAAATTCCCAACTTATTATTAGGAGTGATGATTTATTGATGGCGAAGTGAAAAGTACTTGTGAGCTAATAAGAAGGTAGTTAGGTGGAGAGTTTCGTATAAGTGAAGATCTAATTTATAATAATGTTTGGTTGAATAAGTGTAAAAGGGTTCCTTGTGATACATTTTAGTATTGGAATTTGAAGAAATTATACTCAGCATGAAATTGAGGTAGCTACTTGTTATATATGCCAGGGGATGTACTTTCCGGGACCGGGCCAAATCACTTGGGAGTTTTGCAAGAATGGTTTGGTGTTCATTGGTGGAATTTACGCTCAGTTGCCCTTCTCTTCATTGTTGTTTTTGTCATGCTTCCGCTTGTTTTATATCGTCGAGTGGGTACGTGTATATTTAGATGATTAAAATAAATATACTATACCTTAAATTTACTAACAAAAAAAAACGAAAAACTTTGAATTTGAATCTTTTTGATCGATTGGAACTGGCTTGATTTACTAATCTTTGATTCATATAGAATCGTTATGGTGGAGTTCGGCCGTATCTGTATTCCTAGCTTTCGTGTTTGTCGGTATATGCTCAGTGATGGCTATAACTGCACTTATACGAGGCGAAACTAAGACCCCAAGAATCCTGCCCCAATTGGACAATGGAGTCTCTTTCTTTAATCTCTTCACTGCTATTCCAGTGATTGTGACTGCATTCACATTCCACTTCAATGGTATGGAAACAACAAATACTCAAAATTTGCCAAGAAAACAGGCTCTCAATAATTGAAGTATTGTATCGTATTGTGTTCGTGCTTTGTTAATCTAATAAAGTAATTACGTTAGTGTTCACGTGTTGTGAGCATAACCAACCCATCACATATAATCGATTTGTTCGTGCAGTTCATGCAATTGGAGTCGAGCTGGGCAAGCCAACAATCATGATCTCTGCAGTTCGCATCTCGTTACTGCTCTGTGCAGCCATCTATTGTACGATCGGCATTTTCGGGTACCTTTTATTTGGCGAATCGACCATGGATGATATACTCGTGAATTTCGACCGAAACTCGGGAATAAGTTCGTTCCTAAACGATATAGTTCGGTTGAGCTATGCCTTTCACTTGATGCTTGTGTTCCCGCTTTTGAATTTCTCATTGAGGACCAATATAGACGAGTTCTTGTTCGCCAAAAAGACTCGTTTGGCTGAAGATTCGAAGAGATTTGTTTCCCTCAGCCTCGTTTTGCTCGCGGTGGCTTATGTTCTGGCCATAGCCATTCCGAGTATTTGGTACCTGTTTCAGTTCATGGGGTCCACATCGGCAGTTTGCCTGGCTTTTATTTTTCCGGGAGTGATTGTGTTAAGGTATGTATCGGTTTTTTGTCGTTCAGGGTATTGTTCTTTTACATTTGTTTGTCGATTTTCTGTTAATTAGTATATCTTCTTCTTCTTTTTATTATTATTATTTTGCAGAGATATTCATGGTATTTCGACGTCAAAGGACAAGATCATAGCAATAGTGATGATTGTGCTTGCAGTAATAACAAGCACCATAGCTATTTCCACCAATATATATAAGATGGTGGATAAAAAGAGTGCTTGAGTTGATTTTTGGGGGTTATTTTTCTCTTGATTGTTGTTGGTTGTAAATTAGTGTATGTATTATAGTTTATTTTTTATTTTTTTATTTTTTTTTATTTGCTGGGAATATATAGCAGAATATTTTGACACTGCGTGCGTGTTAATGTTACACACATATGTGATGAGTGTTCGATTCAATTCACTACTACTTTATCAGTTCTTTTAATTTTGTATTTATTTTTGGTAAGGCTAACCAATATTAATTGCTGAAAACTAGTCTATGTTAAAAGATGAAAGCTTGCATTTTATTGTATCGTTCATGATACATATTAACCTTTTGAAACTATAACGTTTAAAATTTGATGATGCGTTTTATTAGTTGTAGAGTTGTCGTTAAAGACCATTTTGGTTTTCATGATAAAGTTACAGCTTTTGCATTACATTAGACATTTTTGCATTATAATACTAAACCCTCGAAATTAAAAGATACAATAATATTTTTCTTTCGCTATAAATTATGATAAACTAATGAGTCATCTGTCCGTCATTTAAATTATAAGTTTAAAAAGAAAAAAAATCTATCATATATATTTATGATGAAAAACCAACGGGTTGTCTGTCGAATTACCCACATTAGTAAGAAGAAATAATATATTTATAATGTATAGTATTATAACTTGCAATCATAAAATCTTTTGAACAACATTGTAAATTGATTGATTAGATAAAAAATATTATGATTTATATTGTGAAGAAACGGGGGTTGACGGGTGCGCGGTCCCACGGAAGTGAAACGCACCAAAGCAGAAAAGCTCAAATGGGCCTTAGTGGGGTTCCATCCCAAAATCAATTGGTGGAAGGAGGAGTAGCCCACTAGACTTATAAGTTAGGCCTATTTTTCATGTATAGACGATGTAGGACGACTCACAAGTGTATATTCTAACATATTATTATAAATTATAATGATAAATCAACTGATGTTGAACTATTATAAGGACTATTAAGTTGGAAATAAATTCAAATTATTTATAATATATATTATTATGAATCATAAAAAAAAAGAATATTAAAACAATTTTAACGTAATAAAAAGAGTTTATAACTTTTAAAATTAGTTATTAAATTATAATATTTACCTCAAGTTTTCAACTTTACTATCACTATTTTAAGAATCGAAATAACATAGTGTAATAATGTATGAGTAAGAGGAGATATATAAGTATTTTTATGAGTTTTATTTATCATATGAACATTCCTTATTTTTTAATAGGAATTCTAAAATAAAAAATTGTTTTATAATTAGTGAAATGACAAAATAAATTATATACTAAACTATTATATATTATAAAAATAAAAGATAAATTTAATACTAATATTGAAAACTATTTATATATTAATAAATATCGACTTATTGCTTTAATTCATACGATTTATCATTTGTTATCATGGGCTGCCTATCCTATGTTTGGTAACCTAGTCGATAAGTTAGTTGATATCTTACGACCGATGACGGAAAAACTAGCATATATGAGAAAATGTTTGGTAACATTAGTTGATTAGTCAATTTAATTAAAATTTCAGCGGACTTATTTTAAAACTTACTCAACAAAGCTTATGAGATAAACTCGAGCAGTCAAGCTTCATACAAAAGCTCGTCCTATCAACTTATTTGAATACATTAAACTTATAAGCAGATCAAATAAGTGATAAGCTAGTTTATGTTGTTTAACAAAATTATTAATAGTAAAATAGAAGATTGAGTGGTATATTGCCGTCAATTTTTCTATTTACTTTGGAGAGAAATAAATCTTTCCCCTAAGATAGTGTTTGGTTTGGGAGAAAAAGAGGGGAGGGGAGGGGAGGAGAAGGGAGAAATTTTTTTATATTTTCTTGTTTGGTTGAGATATTTGGATAAGAGGGAAGGAGAAACTGTAAGTTAAAATTTCTTCTCATCTTCATTTTTGCTTCCATGAAGAAATTTGGAAGGGAGGGAAAATTTAAATTATTGAATTACAATATTAACCTTATTGCATATAATATTTTAAATTTTGTTTTTAACATTATTAATAATATATTTATCATTCTAATATTATTTTTCTTTTATTCTTATTTTTTTATCAAATAAGGTTTATCATTTTCTAACTTCCCTCTTACAAAATCTTTCTAAACAAGACAAAATTATTTTACAATCACCTCTCATCCCTTTCTATTCCGTCCGTCCATTAAAATTTCTCCCTTTGCCTCCGTTGAACCAAACTTACCCTAAGATAAGATAAGACTCGTTTGCCGGAGAAAAAAGAGGCGACGACAAAAGGGAAACGATTTACGTGGTGCCACGGCCAACGGAGCCTCCCTCCGACGCCTGTCATGATGTTTTGGACTGCCGGTATGTGTTACTGCTCACCCTCAGCCTTTCCCTCGCCTCTTCCCCTCATCCAGTTACGATTTCTTCAAAAATTAAGTTTTGTTTTTGAATTAACACTGAAATGCTGATTTCAGCTCCATTAACCGTCAATATTTTGAGTTTCGATTGTGCACCATGACCATACCTCTTTGCGTCTTGTTGTGCCGATTGCCTGGTCTCCTTCACTGTGTAATTATTGTGCATTGCCATTTAAGTGACTGTAAGATCGTTTTAGTTATCGTTGGCAACTTCTGTGTTCTTCTATGGGTTTGGTTTTGTTTCGTTCTCTAAGGTCCTCACAAAACTTGATGAGAGACAAGCTACAAAAACAGAACATGAATATTAAGCCACGAAATTGCTGAACGTTGTAATTCATTGAGAAATATTCATCCAATATATTGATTATCTATGCCTGAAAAACTGGACGAAGCGTATGGTGATTCACGGAAGGTGTTAAGAACGTATGCTGATGAATTTTTTTGCTCTCGTAATTAGCTCACTGTTTGTTCATTTGAATGTTCTGTTCCTGTGGGTTTGAACTTTTTAGTGGTTCACTTACTGGCTTTAACCTTATTTGGTCCTTTTTTTGTTTGATGCTGACAGTAATTCTTGGAATGAAATTCTAGAATTCATATGTGATACGTGTTTGATGTTGGGCATTTGTTCTAGGAAAGGGGCTGTTGTGAAACAAAGATTACTGAAGTATTTCAACTGTCAACAGTGAGGCATATCATGTTGTAGCCTAGTACTACAATTCATCAGTTTTGATGAAAGCACCATCCAGTAAAGGTCTAACTAATCATGTGACATTGAAGCGGTAATTCCATAATCATTCTTTCTTGGGCTGGTTATGGCGATAAAACTTAATGCTAAATTGCAGTATTCTGGACCTGTTCATGATCGTGATTTATTCAAACCCAACGTTCCAAATAGAAAACCAGTAAGTCCTCTATCATAATCGTTGTGCTCACGATATTGAAGCATTTACTTATCATAAGAGCGAGTTGCAAATTGCAACTGAAGGTCGTTTGTTGAACTTAACTTCTTCTCGTTTTCTTCAGGCTAGAAAATTGCCAGCAACAGTTGCTTTTCACACCCTTCATAAAACAAACAGCACTATTGGAAATAAATTATTTGAATCAGGTGCAGAATATGGGCCATTTAGAAAGGCTGTAGTTCAGGAACTGGTTGATCGACTCCATTTGTGTGCCGAAAAGGGGTTACTAACAGAAGCAGGAGCAGTTCACGGGTACGTACTCAAGTCAAATTTCGACGACTATGGCTTGTTGGTTCTACTCAATCACGTCATGCATGCATATTCAAAATGCTCGGATTTTAAGTCGGCAAAGCTGGTATTTGATATTTTACCGAGGAAAAATGCGTTCTCTTGGAGTGTCATTATCTTGGGATTTAATCAACAAGAATCTTTTCGAGATGGGTTGATTTATTTTCGCAAGATGGTGGATGATGGGATACCACCCAATGGAGTTGCGTATTCCGCCGTCCTCCAGTCGTGTATAGGCATGGATTCTGTAGATTTTGGTGGCATGGTGCATGCACATATCCTCGTTCGAGGCTTCGGGTCTCATGTAGTTGTTAGCACCGGACTTCTTAACATGTATGCAAAGCAGGGTAAGGTCGATGAGGTTTATAAAGTTTTCAATTCTATGGCCGAACACAATGTCGTAACTTGGAATACGATGATATCAGGGCTCTCTGCCAACGGGCTTCACTTGGAGGCTTTTGACCATTTTTTGAAGATGAAAGAGAGTGGATTGGTTCCGGATATATATACATATATTGGTGTTCTGAAGGCTGTTGGGATGCTAGGAGATGTTGATAAGGGAAAGCAAGTTCATGAATGCATATTGGAATTGGGCATGATGGACAACATTGTTGTTGGGACTTCTCTCATAGATATGTACTCGAAAGGCGGTCATATAGATGAGGCGAGGTCTGCTTTTATGTACGTTGCCGATTCTAGAGCCAATGGGCCTTGGAATGCAATGATTGGTGGTTACAACCTTTGTAACTATAGTGAACAAGCTTTACTATTATTTGTTGAAATGTGTCGAAAAAACATAAAATCAGATCTTTACACGTACTGCAGTGTATTTGATGCAGTTGCTAAGTTGAAGTGCTTGCGGTTAGTGCAGGAGGTACATGGCGTGTTTTTGAAGTCTGGTTGTGTTTCAATGGATCCAAGTGTCGAAAACGCGATTTTGGATGCATATTCCAAATGCGGTTCTCTTGAGCACGTAAACAAAATTTTCAACAATATGACGCACAGAGACATAGTTTCCTGGACTACTTTAGTCTCGGGTTATTCGCAATATTCAAAATGGGAAGATGCACTTGTTATATTCTCCCGAATGCGGAAAGAAGAGTTCACACCCAACAATTTCACTCTGGCTAGCGTTTTAACTGCCTGCGCTAATCTAGGCTATCTTGAATACGGTCGCCAAATCCACGGTCTCGTGTGCAAATTAGGTTTCGAAACCGTTAATTACATAGAAAGTTCTCTGATCGATATGTACGCTAAGGGTGGCGGCTTAAAAGAATCGGAGAAGATTTTCGCTAGAATATCACGTCCCGATGCCGTCTCGATGACCGCTATAATATCAGCTTACGCATATCACGGTTTTGCGGCTCATGCACTTTGGCATTTCAAAAAGATGGAACAAATGAACATTAAACCCAGTGCTGTTACGTTACTCTGTGTTCTTTCCGCATGCAGCCATGCTGGCCTTGTCGAGGAAGGCCTTCATTACTTTTGGTCGATGGATAAAGACTATGGCCTGGTGCCAAAAATGGAGCACTATGCTTGTGTGGTCGATCTTTTGGGCCGGGTGGGCCGTATCCATGAGGCATATGACTTTATAATGAGAATGGATCTCGAGCCCGATGAGATGGTCTGGCAGGCCTTGTTGGCCGCATGCAGGATTCATGGGAATGCTGAGATTGGGGAAATAGCTGCCGAGAAGATTCTCTCTCTTTGTTCGGATTATTCTTCGACTTACGTTCTTCTGTCCAATACGTATTCCGAGAGGGGGGATTTCACAGAGGGTTCCCGTCTGAGGACAGAGATGAGGGAGAAAGGTGTGAGGAAGGAGCCCGGTTGTAGTTGGATATCTGTAAAAGGCAGAGTTCATAGATTTTATGCTGCGGATAAGGATCACCCCTCGAAGCAAGATATTTATGGCAAGTTGGACGAGCTACGACAGGCTGTGAAGGATTTTGGATATGTACCTGAATTGAAATTTGCATTGCTAATCGAAGGCTGAGACGGGAGTATTCAGTTTCAGGAGCGTATCTTGATAATTGGTAGCTAGAGTGGACCTTTCGTTGTTTGATGCGCTTAAGAAAGCACTGGAGGATGCATTATTATGAACTACTTGTCATATTAAACGTGATTATTTCTACTCGCGGTCTGTTTAAAGGGTATCCATGTTACATAGCGACGTGAAGCTATTGTGATTTGAGGAAAGACGGAAGTTATCTTGCGGCTGGTGTTAGTGAACAGTGTGTTGAACTTACATTTGAACTTTGGACAGCATTGCAACTTCATCAACTGTGAGAGATTTTCAGTCATTTATTTGCGGACATTGAAGAGAACAGGTATTAAATATTTTTTTTTGAAGTCATTACTGATGATAGCAATATTATGTGCCCGACCTATTCTTAAATTTTGTGTCTTTGTGTTTCTTGATGCTGTATGGCTTGGAACTGATTTATTTTATTATTTTAATGTTCCTTGCAGTAACAATTTTTATATTATCATCATTTGCACCCCCATTTTGTTAGGAACTATTGATTGGTGGGATTACTTTGGTTATCTTCCATTTACTTGTTTATCAGTGGGTTTAATTCATGAGTTAGTACCCTTAACATTTATTTGGTTTGCTAATACTGTGTAGCCAACTTTGGTAATTATAAATGCAAGAAGCTAATTCAATTTATTTACTGGCTGTTGATTTGCAACTACTAGCTGATTGTGGTGAACCTTATTAAATATGAGAGAAATCTATGATGATGGATTGGCGAAGATTGATGATGATGTATGCTGACAGTCTGGCCAGGTTACATTATTTTTATAATTTTTCCTTGTGATAATTTTCAGTAGTGGAAATTATTAATTTTGGTGCCAATCTACATGGTCATGAACTATTTGTTCATATAATCAACAGTGGTCACCTTTGCACCTTAGGATTTGATATTAATAGTTGTAATTCAAATTGGACATATTACAGTTATGGTCTTAACATTTTGTTTGCTAAATTATATTTTATTAAGATAAATCACATCAGAGAACAACCTGAAGGATTTTGTTGAGTTGGCCTTGGTTGGCATATATCATGCCTTTGTGTGGTTCACTTGTTTTTGTTTGGGTTTTCTTCACATGCACACCCTAAGCTTATCTTTATACGCGTATACCCACACACAAGACACATATGCATGTCTTCATTCACTTGAATGACAAGATTTGCTGTCTCTTTCGAATAAAGCTGAATAAGCAGCTATCGGGAGAAAAACTCTTGTGATCCCAAATCGATCTGATTTAGCAATGCCGAAATATTTCCTCCTGTTGATTATGGAAAAAATTTAGTGGCTATGAAAATTCCTAATTTTGGATATAAAATGTGGGTAATCCATGCTTCTTGATGGTACTTATCGGTCCCAGCCATTGAGACTCTGATTTTGTGTATAATCTAAATGTGATTTTATATAGATTTGGGATTTGTCTTTCATCTTCATTACTTAATCTTTTGAACTAATTACATTCTTTTTCATTTCAGGAAAAAAGCTATACTGACAATTAAAACATCAATTAAGATCGCGTTTAGGAGAGAATTTGCCTAAATACTCTTGATTATTTTGACATCCTGTGATGCCATGAGAACATGTATGGTTTTAGCGTCAAAATGGCTCGAACAAGATTCATATTTGATGTACAAATCTGCCATTACATCATAGCACAGAGCTTAAAATTTTCGAATTAAAGGATGAAAAATAGAAAAAAAAAAAAAAAAAAAAAAAAAAAAATGAAGACAAAATACAAACAGCTGTCCTAGTTTCCTGGATTCTTTGCACGCACGGGTAGGCTTCTCTTCATATAGCATTGGTCTTTTAAGGCAAAGATTTTGTAAGTTTGCATGGATTGGAATTTCACGTGAGAATGAAAATGACATTTGTTACCCTTCACCAGTTCACAGGCACACCTCATTAACTCTTGATGAAAGTGACCTTCAACATTTCTATCGCATTCAATATTGTAATAGATATAAATTTTTTTCGATTCGATCCGTGATTTGTATTTGCGAAATTTGAATTCGAACAAGAACAAGAATGTTTTTGTGAATTTGAATTGAATAGTTGAGTGTGCCCTACTCTTCAATTCGTTTATGATTTCCTGGCAAAACAAATGAGGTTTTGTGGGTTTATGCTAATTATTCGCTTGTCTTATGTGCTTAACTGTTTGAATTTTGTTCAATACTATGTTAGATATATAGGTTAATTGTGCAAATAATTGTAGTCTACTACTTAAGTCTATCACCAGCTGCTATTTAAGGATCAATTTTTTTGGGCTTTATGGTTTAAGTTATTTTGTTTCGATTTGTAACATTTGCATGTGAATGTACTTTCCCGAAGAGCAACTCACGTGATCAATTTACGTATCCATCCAATTTCACATACCACCACCATTGTTCTTAGAACAAGATAATATTTCCTACATGTGAATTTATATCCACTATATATATACAAATTCAGTCCTATGCAGGTGTCTACATCATGCAAATAATGAATTTGTAAAAGGTCTATTGTTTCTAAAAAAAATGTGTAGCACATATAATTCTCCTTTTAGGGCAAATCGCCACTATTAATTAGAAACGGGATAATTGTTGATGGAAATTATTGAAACGTGTGAAAATTAACGCTTATGACTAAATTCTAATTCAATTTCTTTTTTTGGTTATTTTAATTTTTTGGCGGTTGATCTAACCATGATTATTGTATGTGGTAGGGGCCCACGAACCCAAAAGATTAATTTTTAGTTTTTAACCAATTATCTCTTGGCGGTGGTGTTACAGTTTTGTCATTTATATCTTCCAAACCTGATCTTGATGAGGTTCATTAATTCGATAATTTACAAGTTGCATGTAAGATATTCCAACTATCCTTTGTACATAAATTTGTAATTCTCAAAATACTTTGCAGCGTTTATTATTCCTTATCCAGGAGCGTTTACCACTACATAATTTTTTTTAATAATACTATACACAAAAATATACTCCGTGTACAAATATTCCATCTTAGTATTCTACATATTAATTCCACTCATGACGTGTTTTTATAAGGGAGGTGTTGAATTATGAGTATCTGTTGATATAAAGATAATAAACTTGATGTGGCCGGTAGCGGTAGGTAGGTTCGAATTTCCCCTTAAGAATATAGATTAAACTAATTATTGTTATTTGTATATGAATATCTTTTTCTTAATTACAAAATATGTATTGGATGTGCATGTGATTATGCAACTTGTTTATATGGCGGACTCTCCTAAATCAGTCCCATATCTTGACCATGATAAAGCAACTAAAATTTTAAAATAATACCATTTTATTTATTCTGTATGTCGACCTTTAATCCATTTGACCTGGGGACCAAACTCCAAAGCCAGCAAGTATCAAAGTATGACGTACTTGTGATTGCTAGATTGTAAACTAGGAAGGGAAATGTTTTGTCCACATTCATCAATTTTGTCACCTCATTTGCTCATGAGTCATTGAGAAATGCCCTTACAAATTAAGGTACTTTTTTTCATGCTCAAATTTCTCTTTTCTTCTAATAAAATCTAATGCAAAATAAATAAATAAATAAATGCTAGTGCTAGGTTTTATTAGAATGAAAAACTTGAATCTATATATATATATATCTATATAACAACACAGTCCTTATTAGTCCTTTTCGTCAAAGTTTTTCAGTTTCATTTTCCCAAATTTTCGAACCATATGCTAGGTGCTATAATACTGAAAAACCTAAATCCATATCTAGATAATTGAACATTCCATTTTAGTCATTTTTGTCAAATATTTTCCGTGCCCTAAGACAATAGATGGCTTAACTACATAAATTATCACTAGTCAAATCCCAATTTAGGAAAGTTAGGCAAAAAGCTATGAAGTTTTATTTGTGTATGGTGTGCATTGTTTTATAGTAATGATGAAAGGGGTGCACATGTGAATATGTGGGTACGTGATTTGTCCTCATGGCATGGAGACAATGCTGGAAGCTAGCCAGAAACAAATTTTGCCAACTTATAATATAAATGTATTTATATGTTTTGCATATCATTTTTTTTAATTATATATATACATAATTACTATACATTATGCCTGTGTGTGTGTGTGTTGTGCATTATATGATAGCATCTCGTGATTTAAATATTGGGATGGGATATACTAATAAATATCAATTTTGTTACTCATGAATTAGATTTGAAGCCAAAATATTGAAGGTGTGCCAATTCTTTTCTTGGTACAGATTTTTCTAGGCTTTGTTGTTTGCTGCTTTCACAATATTCTCAATTTGGAGACAAACGTATATATGTATTTAAATCATTATTTGTATGTGACTATGCTTAGCCTATATCAAACGTTTTACATCTATTTTAAAGTTAGTAATGCTGCTATTAAACTATTGGTAGCCAGCCTAATCGTTAGAAGGTCATATTTTTTTCAATAAATATTATTTTCATAGTTAAATATTATGATTTTGAATATTACAAATAAAAATATGACACTGTAAAATATACATTTTTAATAGAAAAGAAATGATGGTATAACCATCAGATAGCGTAACAACAACCATCCATGTTTAACAACAACCGCCATGAAGAAAATTATCTTACCACGACATTGCTTGTTAATAACCGTTGTAAAAACCCCTAACATGTACTTTACTATTTCTTAACAGTTGACTATGGTCTTTGAATATGCTTAGCTTAAATTACATCTTTAACCCCCTTTCTTCATAGTATGATATGATATATACTACACGATCCCATTTGATAATAACAATTGATCAATAATAAGCGAGTTGACATGACTGATGAGGACTTGTGTGTCAATTGGTTTTCGTGTGCACAGTCGAAATAGAAATGATCACTGATGGGTAGGGCAAGCTGATGGTTGTCCCTTCTGCTTCAATGATTGTTCCTTTCCATAATCAATTATCAAGAAGAAGAAAAGAAAAAGATTATGATATACCCTCCTAGCCTTGTTATCTTTTATCAGACAGAGACTATATATGAACTGTGAATTCATTTATGGACATCTGGTATAACGTAGTAGGGTTATTCTATAATTTGAATCTCATACTTTAGAAAAATATATAATCTTACATTAAAATTAATTCAACTCATTAAGATTTTAGGTCTACTAAACAAGCCAAGTCGAGAAAGAGCTATAAGACTTTTTATTCGTTTATTAAACAAGCACAAACTCGACGAGATACTCAGCTAGGTTAGGCTCAAATAATACCAGTAAAAATTGGTTAAAAACGGTGATTTTCTAGTAACTCAAGTATTATAATACTTTGCTTGCTACATTTTTGTAACGTAATAAGAAACTTGTCTCTAGAAAATAATTTACAAGGTAATGGTGGGTTAAGTTAGAGGATTTTTTGCCCTACTTCCTGATGATATGTACTTGCGTTGGAAATAAAAGAGTAGTATTGAAGATTAAGGTAGTGATAATGAAGAGTGGCACGTGTAGAAAGAGAGGGTGTGGGAGAAGACAAATATGACGGCTGTTTTGAGAGGGAGCTCCAAAATCCCCGTGAGGAGCATTTGGACCCATCCAAAATTCCCTAATAAAAACATCCAAATTGTTTTTTTTATTTTTATCTTCACTTTTTTCGATAATTTCTTTGCATAAAAACAAATACTATATATCATAATGCACGCAGTCATAATAATTCATGTGTTTCGCCCTCTTCAAATCCAAACCCACATCACGAGCTCATCATTCCAATTCAATTCAATTTCCCTCTCTCATCAGTTACTATCTATTTATTTATTTTCCATCTCTTATTAAGTCTATGCATGCTATCATATACCACCACATACTCAATTCACAAATATGAAAGTGTATATGAAAAGATATAGAATAATTATTATAAAAGTAATGAATGAATAAATTCATATTCATAAAAAAGAAAAAGGGAGGCGAGGAGATATACTATTTAAGGAGTTTTGATAGATAATATAATAGTAATAGGAGAGATTTGAATTGTTAATTCTCCTAGTTTTCTAAAATGTACAACACTTATTTATAAACGTAGAAAGTAAAAGATATAACATATTTTGAATTAGTAAATATGCTATAATTTGGGAAAGAGATAAATGAAAACTGGATCTGTTAGAGCATCTCCAATGTCATAACTTTGAAAGACAATTATTTTTAACACATGTCAATCAATGATTGTAATGTTAATCCATGTATGAATACTGTTAAAAGAGTAGAAGTTTGAATCAAAGTAGTATCTTCAATGCATCAATTTGATATGAAGTTATTTGTATAGGTGGACCAATTATAATAATCATTAATACAAGAACAATAAAAAATTAAATCAAATATAAAGTGAATTGATTAGTCATCATGTTTAACATTGTCACATTAAATGCTATCCACCTCATCATGAAATGGTTCATGACAAGATGCATTGGAGAATAAATTAGTAACACACTTTCAAAAGTTGATGATATGGATGAATTTTTGTAATGTCAAAAGTCACATTGAAGATGCTCTTAGTGTGGTATATCCTCATTAGTGTTGTAACCAAACACAACGAGTTGGACTTTACCATTTCGAGCTTGTATTCGTTTACGTCTTAATACTGTTCGTGTTTGATCGTTTATTTTTCTAGCGAAAAATCGTGTTCGAGTTTGTTCATTTAATTGTTTGTCAAAATTTTAGATCGTTAATGGTGTTCGAATAATTTAAGAGACAAAACTTGTAAATATGTTTGATTAACTCGAACTTTGTTCGTTCG